ATCTATTATGTATTATATTATTATATTTAGTATTATGTGTAAGCGGTGCCATGATTGGCCAATTTACAATATCTAGTTATATGAGATTTACGAGAGCGGTTTACAAGATATATGAAATTAAAATAATAGAAGTTTGAAAGTTACGTCAGATTTATAGAAAATTACAAACAAACGTCGCGGTTTAAGGTATAAGCCTATTCATGAATTCAAATACCCAGACTTTATTCATTTTGCAAAATAATTTATAAACAAAATAGTTGGGTCACCAGCCTAATTTTTAAGAAAATGTTGGTTGTGTTTTAGTTGCCATTTTGGCGGTATTATAATGCTTTCACCATATCTTTTTATTACAGAGATAATATGCCATGTCCCAAAATGTTCCTGTTGTCCTCAATTATTTCAAAACTGTAAATGTCAAATGCTGCTTCTTATTTGTCAAAAAAATGCATTTTTTTTAATTGTGCTATATGGAGTTGTTGTAAAAAAAAGCATTTTCTTAAAGCATTGGGACAAGTCTCTCAAATTACGCCACTGTAACACACAAAAGAATGCTATTTTGTGATGTCATGAGACAATAGCTTCAGAATATTACATTGAACACTATCATGCGATTTATGGCCAACTTTCTCGAAAATTATGAATAGGAATATAACTTAAAGCCTGCATATGAATAAAATCGTGATTGTTTACATTCTGCATATGAATGCAAGACTGTCCCAAACAAAGAATTTTCAAGGGGTGTGTAAGCATAATAACGCTGCCTTTCTTCAAACGGCACATTTCATATTTGGCCATATTGGCGTAAACTTACTTTCCTTCTTTGAGAATAAATAATATAACCGTTCCTCACACTATTAATTTTTCAAAACATTGTGTATATACACTATACAGATAGAAAAGAAGTCGCCATGTCGGAGATAATTCAGCTAAGATTGATAATTGAACTGCCAATGTCAGATCGCTACCCATTTTCGCTACCCATTTTCAGACAGGAAGAGAAATGCGAAAATTATAATAATTATACCTAATTTCATTCCTACAAACTCCGAGTTCTCGTTTACATTCGCCATGGGTCCAGGTTGTGAACCTTTTCCCGTCAGGATTACCGATGTTTGAGGAATTTTGTGGTGATTTTAAGAGATATTTTCAGTAGCAGACGTCATTCTTCGAGAAGTTATATACATCGGTGTAATACTACCACCAGTATATATCACCAGCAGTGCGTCGGCCGATTATAAACGATCGTGTTTCCATTTTTCGCCTTCAGTCAGCCGACTCTTTAAGTCTGTCAGTCGACTAGAATCGATCGACTGTAATTAGTGACAAGTGCTCATTTTAGTGGAATAATAAGATAGCAATTATGTTTAGGAACAAACACACGTACCATATGGTAATACTATTTACATGTAGTAAA